TCGAACACTCGTGAGATCATCCGCATTATCCTAGTGTTCGATACCTTTCTCTCCTATTTACATAAATTTAAATAATGGTATGAGTGCTCGTGCGATCGTCCGCATCAGCCTAGCACTCAATACTCTCAAGTCTTCCTAAATAAGTAGATAACGGTATGAGTGCTCGTGTTGATCGTTCGCATCGTCCTAGTGCTTAATATCGTTATCTCTCTTTTAAAAAAAATACGGACGAGCGTCGTGTTGGGAGAGTGAGCAGATCTCTAAGGGCGCCTTTCCATTATGTACTAAAAACCTTTTCTTCTTAAATAAATTTACAAAAATATGTTTTAAAGGTCGAACACTCGTGAGATCATCCGCATTGTCCTAGTGTTCGATACCTTTTTTTCCTATTTACATAAATTTAAATAATGGTATGAGTGCTCGTGCGATCGTCCGCATCATCCTAGCACTCAATACTCTCAAGTCTTCCTAAATAAGTAGATAACGGTATGAGTGCTCGTGTTGATCGTTCGCATCGTCCTAGTGCTTAATATCGTTATCTCTCTTTTAAAAAAAATAATTAAAAGTATTTAAATATCATTCTAAAGGTATGAGTACTCGTGTGATCGTCCGCGTCGGCCTAGTACTCATTACCCTCTTTTTTCTCGAAAATATCAAAAAATATATAAAATCTTCAAAAGCTAAAAAACATCAACACTTTCAAGCAAACAAACAATCTTTCAGCCAGAACTACGTGATCCTTGATTCTCCATCAAAAGTGGAGATACGTAGGAGCAAGGCTCGTCCTTGTCAGGTTCACTTCCCCAAAAAAATCCAAATTTATCCATAATCAATTTCTCAAACAAATTTCTCAAACAATTTTTTAAACAAAATTTTCAAGCAGTTTCTAAAAGAACTACGTAACCCTGATTTCTCATTCTGAATGAGAATACGTAGGAGCAAGGTCAATCCTTGTCGGGCCCAAAAAAACTAAAAAATATATTTTGTTTATTTAGAATTTTATTTTAGGGGATAGTTAAACATTTTGAAAACCACATCATATTCGTGCATTTAGTTAAAGGTACTGCCTTAGGGCAGGCGTTGTAGGGTGCTAACACCTTCCCTACGCGTAACCGACTCCCGAACCCAGAATATGGTTTTCGTGGACCGTGTCTTATTATTTTATGGTTTTTCCGTAGTTTTCCATAATAAACTATGGTGGCGACTCCAAAATCTCTTTTCAAAACCCGTTTTTTTTGGATCGTCGTCCCGTCGCGATTCCGGTTACGACATTAAGTTATCTAATAAATTATAAATATTTTAATAATTTTAAAAATATATATTGTATCGTACCCAGTGGAGGTCGAACGGTTAACAATCAACACTGTTCGGTCCATCCACTCAGGTCAAAGATTGGGCCGCAATTAGGTCAGCGCTTAAGCTATTGTTGGGCCAACAGTCCAGCAGATGACAAAAATAATCAAAGAATATCTAATTAAAGATATTGATAAAGCAGATTATAAACAATAACCAAATTTTCAGGTAATCTATTTATATCTTAATCTGTTTACATTTTATTGGGCTTTTATCAGCTCAAGATCCATGAGGTAAATTATAAATACAAAGCCAAGACTGAAAGCCAGGTACGTTCCACTTACGCATTATTCACTCTATGAGCCGAGACTCTTCAAATCACACGCCTAACTTGAGCGTCAGAGTATCTTTTGTAGGAACTCCCCCTGAGCACGAAGGCAACCGATCGGTCAAGACTGAAGTGACCTAACGGCCCAAACGAAAGTCAACCGAACGACTTCGACAGAAGAAAGCCAAGCAGCTCAGGCGATTCCAGCGTTCGGAAGGAAGGAAGACACGTCAGCAAAGGTTCGTCTCTCGATCCTGTAAAATCCTACCGAAACATTTTGGCGCCCACCGTGGGACCGGGGGCATCCTACTGAAACTGCAAGAAACCAAACAAGGACGTAGCCTCAACATCAACGTCAACAAGCTTCTATGGCTTTACAGATAATTATTTCATATAAATTCATTTTATTACATGATTTAATTTAATATCTTAATTCAATATTATAATATTGTTCAAAGATTTAATGATGCAATTACCACCTAGCCAAATTTGGCATCAAGTGTTCAACCGTGCAGGTGTCAGGACCATACAAACGACTCGTCCAAGAGGAGGGCAAGAACATTGAGGTAAATCCCTCTCGTCCATTACGAAATTCTCCAGCGACTCCTAGGTCGAAGACCGAGATGTAAGCCATCACTGGCGCCAACAAAACCCAGGGAACGCCCTCCAAAACCCTTGGTCCTAAACCGAGCGATGTTGGACGTCCCCAAGGATTGACACTCTCGTCCTCTAGGAAGTTCTGAAACGAATTCCTACGCTGAAAAACCGAGCGGTGTTTCACGTCCCGAAGGACTGACACTCTCGTCCTCTAGGAAGTTCCAAAACGAACTCCTGCGCTGAAAAACCGAGCGGTGTTGCACGTCCCTAAGGACTGACACTCTCATCCTTTAGGAAGTTCCAAAACGGACTCCTACACTAAAAAGCCGAACGGTAAAGCTCGTTCCCTAGGAAGAATTCCTAGGTCAAAGTCAAAGACCAAGAGGTAAATCCCTCTCGGCGGAGAGGTAAATCCCTCTCGTTGAAGACAAAGACCAAGAGGTAAATCCCTCTCGTTGAACACAAAGACCGAGAGGTAAATTCCTCTCGTTGAAGACAAAGACCAAGAGGTAAATCCCTCTCGGCCAAGAGGTAAATTCCTTTCGTTAAAGACAAAGACCGAGCGGTAAAACCCTCTCGGGAGAGAGGTAAATCCCTCTTAAAGCCGAACGGTAAAGCCCGTTCACTAGGAAACCCTCCTAGCTCAAAGACCGAGCGGTAAATCCCTCTCGGGAGAGAGGTAAATCCCTCTCAAAGCCGAACGGTAAAGCTTGTTCACTAGGAAGCATTCTAGCTAAAAGACCGAGCAGTAAATCCCTCTCGGCAGAGAGGTAAAGTCCTCCCATTAGGAAGTTCTCCACGAACTCCTAGTGCAAAGCCAAACAGTAAAGACCGTTCCCTAGGAAGAACTCTTAGGTCAAAGTCAAAGTAAGGAGGTAAAGCCCTCTCAAAGCCGAACGGTAAAGCCCATTCCCTAGGAAGAACCCCTAGGTCAAAGTCAAAGCAGGGAGGTAAAGCCCTCTCAAAGCCAAACGGTAAAGCCCGTTCACTAAGAAGAACTCCTAGTACAAAGAACGAGCCGTAAATCCCTCTCGGCCAAGGGGAAAATCCCTCTCGATTATGTTGAAGACCGAGCGGTAAAACCCTCTCGGTAGAGAGGTAAAGTCCTCTCGATGATGTCGAAGATAAAGACCAAGAGGTAAATCCCTTTCGGCCAAGAGATAAAACCCTCTCGCCAACAAACGAAAGTTATAAACCGAACGGTGAAGACAGTCCACCGTGTACAATAAATCGAACGGTAAAACCCGCTCCCTAGGAGGAACTCCTAAGTCAAAGTCAAAGACCGAGAGGTAAATCCCTCTCGGTTCATGTTGAAGGCCGAGAGGTAAATCCCTCTCGGTTCATGTTGAAGGNTAATGTTGAAGACCGAGCGGTAAAACCCTCTCGGTAGAGAGGTAAAGTCCTCTCGATGATGTCGAAGATAAAGACCAAGAGGTAAATCCCTTTCGGCCAAGAGATAAAACCCTCTCGCCAACAAACGAAAGTTATAAACCGAACGGTGAAGACAGTCCACCGTGTACAATAAATCGAACGGTAAAACCCGCTCCCTAGGAGGAACTCCTAAGTCAAAGTCAAAGACCGAGAGGTAAATCCCTCTCGGTTCATGTTGAAGGCCGAGAGGTAAATCCCTCTCGGTTCATGTTGAAGACCGAGAGGTAAATCCCTCTCGGTTCATGTTGAAGGCCGAGAGGTAAATCCCTCTCGGTTCATGTTGAAGGCCGAGAGGTAAATCCTTCTTGATTCATGTTTACATGGAAAGCAAACTCCTCACTACAGGAAAAACAACCTCCCTCAAACTCATAAGTCATATAGTTAACCACGACTAAAGTCGAACGCTTAACTCGAATTTGGGGGGCATAATGTATCGTACCTAGTGGAGGCCGAATGGTTAACAATCAACACCGTTCGGTCCATCCACTCAGGTCAAAGATTGGACCGTAATTGGGCCAATGCTTAAACTATTGTGGGGCCAACAGTCTAATAGATGATAAAAATAATCAAAGAATATCTAATTAAAGATATTGATAAAGCAAGTTATAAACAACCAACCAGATTTTTAGGTAATTTGTTTATATCTTATTCTGTTTATATTTTTTTGGGCTTGTATCAGCTCAGGATCCATGAGGTAAATTATAAATACAAAGCCAGGGTCGAAAGTCAGTTACGTTCCACTTACGCATTTTTCACTCTACGCTACTCTCAAATACTCAATAGTGATAACCATTCACTAAATATTCAACCAAGAGCCAAGGCTCTTCAAATCACACGCCTAACTTGAGCGTTAGAGTATCTTTTGCAGATACTCCCCCCGAGCACGAAGGCAACCGATCGGTCAAGACTGAAGTGACCGAACGATCCAGACGGAAGTCAACCGAACGACTCCGACAGAAGAAGGCAAGCAACTCAGGTAATTCCAGCCATCGAAAAGAAGGAAGACACGTCAGCAAAGGTTCGTCTCTTCATCCCGTAAAATCCTACCGAAACATATATAAATATATAAATAGGTATCAGGACGAATATGAAAACATAAACAAATGATGTGTATATACTTATCCCATTTCATATTCAATTATAAAATTTAAATATTATCCATGAATCTAGTCAATAATTTTTTTATCAAAATAAAAAAAAATTCAAAAAAATACTCGTAAGGACTAAAAAGATAACATATTTTACCTGATTTTTAATATATTTTAAATCAGATTAAAATTATCCTACGAACCTATACATATCCCGTTCGAACGAATTGTTTTTTACCCGTTTAAAACGGGTCGGATCGGGTCGCTCAACTATTGTTTTACGTGTCTGATAGGTCGGGCGCCCTTTCTCCTGGCTCTATAATAGCACGGTATAAATACCAGTTAAACAAAAGCAATACGTTAAACACGGGGAAAAAGTCGAGGTTTATGACCCGATTTGGATGGTGGAAAAAATTGCGAAGAGAGGTTGCTATGGGCGACGGTGTTAACTCTCCGACGCGAAGGTGAGTGATAAATTTTCTCTTTTGCTTCTTCACCAGGTCCTGTGTTGATATGGTGGGTGTGTTGGTTCAGGTTCATTCTTCTTCATAATCAATCATGTGCACATTTTTCAATTTCGAATGACCAAAGTTCCTTTTTTCTTTCGTGGGTCGATTTTATTATCATGTAATCCAATACTGATATTAAACTGCATACGGGTGTTGTTTCGTTTTCTTCGACTGGATAGGACTGAAATAAATCTGATTTTTGTTGCGAAGACCAATAACAAAGGCTTCACATGATTTATGAATCCTAAAATGCTGCCAAAACGTAACGTTCTCTTTAACTCAATTTTCGGTTTTGTGATAAGGAAAACATTCAGGCTTCCAACTTGGCTTTCTGTGTTTATTTTTTGATCGGTTATTTTGGAGATACTATTAGGTGGACCTGAACCAGCATGGGTCTTTTGATCTTAGTATGATTCTTAATCAACTGTTAATAATTCGTTCTTGTAAATTTTGAAATTTGAATTTGTGTTGTATAAACATTGGTTCCTGATGGTCATCCAAGACCACCTAACAATTACTCATTCAGTTTTGTATTTAGTTTTGAATTTTAGGTTTGAGAGTGGCATTCTAGGGTCATGTGTATTACAGTTGTGGATACTTTAGTGATTATATATGTCTCTTCAAGGGAGCTTTTTGGCCCTTGTGTCTTGGATAGGCTGTGTTTCTCTGTTTTGAATGATATGTTTTTCGTGGTTTCTTTTAAAGAAATAGACTTTCTTCCAATTGATAAATTGGAAACATGTAATAAACCTGATGATATGATTTCATTGGGTATTTATGTTCGAGACAATGAGATGATAGAGAATCTGTTTGACAATAATTTCAGTAGTTTGAATTGATGATGGCTTTATGGTGCTTAGGTAGTTGATTGGATTGTTATACTGTGGTACTATTATTTGTGAACACATGGTGTGGTTTGGTGAGGGAAGGCTTTTGTTACTTAGCTTTGCTTGAGATGCTTGCTGACATGCTGGTTATGTGATTGTTTTGAGGTTAACATGGTTGTCAGGTTCAGGATAAGTGTGTCGGTACTTATGCTGGGTTTACATATTAGTTACGTGAGATTTGTAGTTGGTTCTGTTATAGTGAAGGGGATGAATGAATATTGGTAATTACTGCTATGTGTTTTACCTCCAACACTTGCCTTCCATTGCATCATACCAAATGGGTCACAAAAAAAGTACCTAAACTAACTTGCCTTCCATTGCATCATACCAAATGAGTCACAAAAAAAGTACCTAAACTAACCATCAAAACTCGCCGTCTAAAACAAGGAAGGGTCATTAGAAGGACAAATGAAAAGAGTGTTTGGAGTGAAACGACATACAGATTGTTTTTCATTATTAATTTACCATATATATCTTCTTCTGGCCCATAACCTTCACGCTAAACCTATTTCATCACTCCTGCACACTCTTTCTCTATTATCATCCAATATAAACAAAACTAATCCTTGCTCCCATGAAATTAGCTCCTATATCATAGTTTCCTGCAAGGACAAGCTGGGTAAGATTAGAAAACCAACTGCTCTTGCTGAATCCATAGCCATTAAATCTTGTGTTAGACAGAGGTGTATAAATAAAGGAAGTGCCTCAGTGGAAAAATGGCCATTTTGTTTTAACTGAAAATGTTAGTTTTCAGTGTTTAGTGTCAACTAAACATTAGGGGTTTAGGTGTGAAAGGCCCATATTACTAAGGGTAAAGTGTATTTTGACTTTACAATTTTAATTTCTACTTATCAATTCCATCTTAGGAGTCTAATGGCCTTTCAATGCTTCATTTTTCTGTAGGAGCAAGTAAGATCAACGCTAACAGTCTGTTATTAGTGAGAAGACCTCAAAACTATTATACCAGACATTTGCAAGGTACGCTATAATTGTTTGGATATTCAAGGGTATTTATTGTTTGTGTCCTTGTAACTCGCAAGGTAGGCTTAATAGAAAATTGGAGTTTTATTTTTGTGGAGATATGCCTTTTTTGCAATGGATTGGTCTTGACAGAAAAAAAATAAGATTTATAAATTAATTTAGTTTTGCTATGGGATAAAATTTTTCGTGATTTATATATTTGATAAATACTGTCTTACCATACAAACACAGTTATCTTTCTTTCTAGACAAATTCTAAGTTGAGAAACCCTCCCATGTATATCTCCATGGGGAAGTTGGTTCCCATTGATAGATCTGTTAGGTTTTAAATTTATGGTTCAGACTGTTTTCCCTCATTTCTTTGTTCTGTCCTCATATGTCCATGTCCCCTTCTTTCAATTACATCTCAGCCATCCTTCTCAACTTCAACGATGCTCATCATAAACCATGACTACGCCAATACATTGAAAAAAATACCAACATATTGATTGCATGATTTCATCAATCTCTAAAAAATAACTTGCTCACATGTAAAAGATATTGCTCCCCCCACCCCCTCCATTTCAAGACATTATGAAATTTAAGAGGAAGAGAAGAGGGTTGTGGAATGATTGTTGACTGTGGGGAGGGTGAACTGTAAATGAGGGAGATCAGATAACACATATAGTGCCAATGAAACTTTGGCATGGGAACTTGAGGTTTCCCCTTGGGAATCATACTTGTGATCTTGACTTTGATGCCAATTGTTAAATTGAGTGCTTACTGCTAGGCCAAAAGTTATAGTCAATAGTTAGAATGCAACTCTTTTTTCCTAAGAGCATAACAATCTTAGTGTTATGATTCGATTATGACTTCATCCATCTAAACTATGCCACATGACAATTGATAAACCTTGCAACATAGAGGACAAATTTAATTTAGTTTGTTTGGTAGAAAAGAAATAAGCATAGAGAAATAAAAAGCCAGGGCTCCAACTAGTACTTTCCCACTTTATTTTTCATTTCTTTTCTACTCTTGTCTTTGTCTCTCTCCTCATCTCTTTATTTTTCTTCAACCAAACGTCTTTAACTTCCATTATTTTTCTCACCTTTTTTAGTCATCATTTTTGTTTCCATTCACCTGTTCCTAACATGGCATTAGAGTTTGAGTGTTTGGGATGAATGAGTTTACTGTTGGAGGTGATGTCATATTGATGTATTGGATATTCAGAGGAATGGTGACTAACATTTGAGGAAGAGTTAAAGTACCTTGAGGTTGTTTCCTATGAGAATCAGACTTGATATTTCAAGGAAACTGAAGAGGAGATGAAGAAAATCCAATCAGTTTCTCAACCTTCATTAATTTTTGTGAAAAAGCCAAACCAAACCAGTCAAATTATAGGAATTTAGATGATTGAGCTTATGAATATAAAATAAAATAAATGAAAAACTCTGGAATTTTCTCTGAATTTAGTTATGATTGTTTGACATGCTGACATGCATAAGTTTGGATTGGATATTTTGGGCTTCATATGCTCATACCTGATCTTGGAGTCAATCATTGAATTACACTTCTAAAATCTAAACTAAACTTGTAGTTCAATCCAATTATAAATTTTCCTTTTCAGTTTAGATTTAACTGTTGACTACCAATGCATGACTACCCTAGTTGTTTGTGATGTTCTCTCAATTGACATGTCAACCTTTTTTGCATGCATGTGAAACTCCTCTTTAGCATACTTGCTCATAAATTGGGCCACGACACTTCAGTCCACAAATCTTAATTTTCACTTTGTAAGGGAATTGTTATTCTCACACCAAATTATTTTATATGTTCATTCCCAGACTTCTAAAAAGAGATTGACAGAATTATTTTGACGAAAATACGTCTTTGTTGTGTATTATGTAATTATACCCCCTATTAACTAAAGGAAAATATATTCCATTGTTTACCTCAATAGGATCTCTGCAAGATGCAAAATGGTCAACTATTTTTATTGCTTTCTAAAAGGAATTCGGGAGGTGAACTGAACAAAATTGGATGTAAGAATAACATAGCTTCCTTGTGATTACTTTCCCTGTGTATGGTCCAACAAATCTCAGAACATGCTTCCTTCTTATCTCACCCAATTTTTTTAACGACAAAGCTTTGGTGTTGTTTTCAAATCAAAATTTGAGTTTTTACCTCAAAAATATGCCATGACATTTGGAATTCTTTATCCGGCATATTACCGAAATGAAATTCCAATTCTGATTAAAATACCAACAATCAACATTTGTCGAAGTTTTTATAAGTTTTATCTTTTTGTTAATGTCTCAATCCCTGCATTTTTTACATTAATCATATTTGCTTGATGCTCTTGACAGTGTCATATCTACTTGTGGCCACCAAACAATATTTCTAACCTTTATTTATAGGTGTGATTGTTTTGCAGACATGAAGAAATAAAAAATCGCAAGTTGAGTCAAGTTTAACAATAACAAACAATCACAAATAAATCATTACAGCGAAGTTGGGCCAGAAGACCTTTTATGGCCCTCGACGCATCAACCTTTGAAACCTTAACCCCTTCCCGCTTCATTTCCTTCACAATACCCCATCCATCATTTTCCAATACACCTCTTCGAGTTGCTGTGCTCGACTCACCAGTCCAACCTAATGATGTGCCTCAAGTTGGTGCCATGTTGGTCCCTGAAGGTCGAGAAATTGATTGGATCTTCTCCACTGAATTGGGTCATCTCCAACTCCTCTTAAGTTCCCCTGAAATATCACGTTTGATTCTCATTGGAAACAACTTCAAGGAAGGTACTTTACCTTTTACCCCACATGTTTATCACCGTCCCTTGGAGTGTTCAATGCACCAACAGGGTTTTGAGGTTTGGTCAAAGCCTCTTCTTTTGGCCCTTTCTCCCAAATCTTTGTTCAAAAGGGGGATTCCTGAGATACCCATTTTGAGTTATGTGGATAACTTGGTTTCTAGTGTGGTGGTTCATCAGTGTGCTGGGATACATGTTGGTGAAATGTTGGTTGAGGATGTTGAAATTGAAAATGGGGGTGGGGTTTTGCATCATGGCAGGGAGTTTAGGAGGAGGTTGAGGTTCAAGAGGATGCCTAATTTGATTCAGACTGAAATTTGTATTGTTCCAGTCAAAGGTGGCGATTGTTTGGATGGTGTTTGCATTGGTGGTAATGTGCGATTTGTGCCTTATCTTAAGGTTTTGGTGCACCCTTACCTGGGGCCTATGGTGGCTGGTCTTGTGTTGAATAGTGAATATGTAGCACAGCGGATTCAGAATGGGTTTAAACCGAAGGCCTTGTGCCTTGGGGTTGGAGGTGGGGCTTTGGCAACTTTTTTGAGAACTCAATTGGGATTTGAGGTCATGGCTGTAGATAGTGATAGGGAGGTTTTGAGGGTGGCACGGGAGTATTTTGGATTGGAAGAAAGTAAATTTATTCATGTAGTTGTTGGGGATGCCTTTGAATCTTTGAAGAAGCTTGTCGAAGATGAGGGCAATGGTAAGTTTGATGTTGTTATGGTTGATTTAGATTCAAGCGATATAAAGAATGGTGTAAGTTCTCCGCCAGTAGAATTTGTTAGAAAGGATGTTCTTCTTGCTGCTAAATTGGTTCTTTGTGAGTATGGAATTCTAGCTATCAATGTCATTCCTCCCAGCAGGTACTTCTATGACAACTTGGTCAGTCATATTAAGGAAGTCTTTCACGAGCTATATGAGATAGATGTAGGAAATGGTGAAAATTTTGTTCTTGTTGCCACTGCATCACCTCTTGTGTTTTTAGCTCGGGATTGTGTTAATTCTTTTCTTATGCGACTGAAATCTGTTATTCCAGAAGCATATTTGAAATCGATAACAAAGATCTGATGTCTCACTTGTTGAGGAAAATAGCGCTTTTTGGATATTATCATTCTCCTCTGTAAGACTAATAGGTGATGTTTCAGTAGTTTTGATCCAATGATACAAAATGGAGAGAGTTTCTCTGATGCGCCTCAGCTCCAGTGTGGAGGAGAATCATCTTTAAAAACTACTGTGCAAACACTGAAATTACATTCATATCAGTGGCTTTACATCTTGCTCTGGATCCAATTGCTTCAGTAAGGTACATACACCGTTTCTTAATTATTGCTCTGAAACTTTAGTGAATGTGAAATTGTGGAGGTTTAGTCGTGGTTTTTGATATCTTTCTGGGTATTAAGGAGTTACATCAGCTACTAACAAGTATGGAAGGATGAAATCTTTGAACAATTTGCAGACTTTGAAACAATTAATAATAACGATAGTTCTAAAGATTGCACTTACTATCTTTTATACAATTCAGGTACTTCTAATCTGCAATATTTTTTTTTCTTATGTTGTTATGATTAAAACAAAGGAAGTGCTTCCCGTGCATCTTATTTATTTGTCCTTTTTTTTTGTAAAACTTCATATTCACCCTGCGGTTTTTTAAATTACTGCATATCTTAGGTACTCGTAAGTGGGAATCAAAGGTAACCTTGAATATGATTTTGGCATCAGAGTTATGAATAAAATATAGAAGTGCAGATAGTCACATCAATTTTCTGAACAGGATGAAGAAAAGACTAGAGTAGACTGAGCTTGTTCAACAGGATACCTAAGATTAAACAGATTGTGACGGTTGACCATCTGTTTTCCAGCATCTGTTTATTTTCATAGAAAGCCAATTGTGTTTGTGTTGTGGAACAATATTTATCAAATAACAAAACTACAAAGGAGAGACATTGTTTTGTTTCTGTCATAATGTCCCGCGTAATAATTCACAATTATGGTTGGCACAGCAAAACGATAATTTATTTACATACATTATTTACCCTGATACAATTGTTCTGATTCGTTTCTTTCCTGGACAACGTCAGTGATGAACAACATTTTGTGTTTGGGAAGATGCATGGATTCTCCACTGTTGATGGCTTTGTGGAGATAAGCAACTGCATGGCAGAGATGATTAAATACGTGGCAAATGAACCGTCCGCTGGTCTTTTCTTTATTCAACAGCACACACAAAATGCAGTGCCCAATATCATGAAACTGAAGAAGAATGTTAGTGACAAGAGTCGTGAAACAACTCTGCACACAGAAGATTTGGAGGACTCAGTCACAATGGTGAGATCAATGAAAGACTGTGGATTCCCCATAGCTGACGAGATGATTGTAGACATTAAAAATTCCCTTATAACGATAACTTCAAAGAAACCAAACCGATGGTTAACCCATCGGCCGACATCAAATTTTCAGGCTCAGAGAGCTAACTTTTCTAAACAGAACTCATACAGTCCAAAGGGGCCACAACTTGATTCTATGGGAATGGTAAATTCCAGCGCCGAGAAGCCACAGCTGCACCGTAGCGTGTCATTACCAGATGCATCTGCAAACACTAATGCATTTTCACAAGCAGACAAGAAGCCCCCATCAAGCCAGGTTGGAGATGAATCTCGATCTGAACCAGGTGATATTGGGGAAAAGTTATTGTCAGTATCAGAAAAATATGATGACTTCAAAGCATGTAAACAAGCTAAGCTGGAGGAGTGGCTTTAAGGAACAAGCAACAATGGGGAGAATTCTCTACCAGGTGATGAGAAAAGGCTGAGAAATAAATGAAAATATTCAGATACTTGGGAAAATTCTATAGGATTTATCTTTTATATAGCTTGTTTTTCAAAATAATGATTTAGCCTGTATATAATGTGTGCTGTATCTAATCAACATTGTTTGAGTACCTAGTATAACACGATTAAAAAAGTTGGTAATGCCGTCAGATGTGCTTTGAATAATGAGACTGATTGCATAATCAGTAAGTGAAAGCATTAATTGCATATTTTTCAGTTTCCGATTGTCAACCACTAAGCTATGCCTAACCCTAAAAGCTTCTCGAAACCCAACAAATTCTCAAAAATATCTCAATATACGAAGATCATTGCGGAAAGTAGAAGAATTGACATTTCAATTTCATAGTGAACATTCAAACCAGTACTCACACTTGATAACATTAAACTTCGAATCATGCAGCTTGAAATAAGTTACCATTCAATCATACATCTCAATTTTGTAAAATTACCTCAACCAAATAGTTTAAATAAAACCTAAACATATTTTTAATCCTTATATATACATTATCCTTATAAACGTTTTCTTTATTTTTCATGCCTTCGTAATTTAAAATTATTATTTTGGTTCCTACAAAGTTGAGAAATTTTATTTTTGATTCCTGTAGTGTTTCTATTTTAATATCTGTGAAAATTGAAATAACTATCTTTTTATCCCCTATTTTATTCAAAACAAATAAAAATCTTAGTTTTAATATTGCATTCTAACACTCAAAATCATCAAAATTTATCAGTATGAAATTGACAATACAAATCAATAAGGATATACAAAAATGTCAACCTTTTTATAAATGAATATTAAATTCTTGACTTAAATATTAATTTGGTTTTTATTTTTATTGAATTTATTCAATTTAATATATATTTTTTGTTTTAATTTTAATCAATTTTGTCCAATATTTATTAAGATAATTTAAATAATTAATAGACCATAAACTGTTTAGCACCTGTGTTTTTTTAATTGTTTCTAATTTTTTTAATTTTAAAAAAAAGGTCTACAATTATACTGTGTTAGGATAAATGACACGTAGGATTAATGTTTCATATTTAATTTGTTTCTACATTTTGTTATATTTATTCAGTCTTTTATTTCTATATAGATTAAAACCACATTTAATTTTTATATTATTGTCAGTAATATTTTATTAAATTCACATTTTTATTAAATATTTTTAATTTAATGTTAGAGATTATTTTAAATTAGAATGAAAGTTTTTAAAAACTAGAAGTAACACCATTGATTTAAAATGTTAAAAAGATAAAAATCACATGATTTTTAGAATTTAGAGGTTAAAAATTGAAAAACACCATTCTTTTATATAATTTTTAATCTCTTAAAATTTTAAATCAATGATGTTAATATTTGAGAGGAATAAAATTGTTTTATTTTGAAATTTTAAAAAATTGAAATTTTGAAAAGTTAAAAAGTAAAGAATAATTTTACATTTTTAACCTTTTAACATTTAAAACCAAATAATGTTATTCCTCACTTTTAATATTTTCATTTTAATTTTAAACCTTATTCCGAAATTAAAAATATTTAATATAAATATAAATTTTAATAAAAATACTAATATAATAATTATATAAAAATTAAACTTGAACACGATTTGAACGAAGACAAAATTGTTTCTTTTTTTTCATAAATAAAAGTAAATTAAATAAAAATAATAAATATAAGAAGTAAATTAAATATAAAGCATAGATGTGACACAATCCAGACTTTGACGTACATTTTTTAAACATATGACATACCGGCTTGATACAGATTTTTTTTAAATTAAAAATAAAATAAAAAAGAAAACAAAAAAATCACATCATTCCATTAATTATTTAAACAATATTAACAAAAAAGTATCAAATTAAATAAAATTATAAAAATTAAGAATTAAAAAATATATTATAACTAAATTAAATAAACTTAACAAAAACAATGATCAAATTAGTATTTAAACCTAAACTTTTTTATAAGAATTAAAATCTAAAAGGCATTAATTATACAATAATTAAATATTTAAATCCAAAAAATTATAAAGTTATAAATCCTCTACTCCCATTCTTTAAAATGGATAAAATTAAAATCATATATTAGCAAAATTTAATTATATGTGAAAAGATTAAAAAACTAACCAGGTCTACTTTCTAAATCAAAATAAAACATGTGCTTATTACATAATAATCACCAATAACTGTTATATGAAATAAAAATAATATTATTTAAAATAACTCAATTGGTTTATGTATAATTATAATTAATATTTGTATTTAAAGTTTACGTTAAACAATATTCAAGCATGGGATGGATCACATAATAACTTATCTTACCTCAAAAGTTTGCCGACGGTTACTCTTTACACAAAGGTACCTCTATTTAACAAGTAATTTTTCGACTATATTAATTTCAAATCCAGTTACCACCCTTTCTACCCTGTTTGATAAAATAAAAATAAAACCCTTCTTCCACTCCAAACAACATTGGTTTTTTTATCCCCTCTCCTGTTAATTTCTCCCCAAACAGTCAGAGCATACATGAAGAAACCCAAGTGGCACCAATTGTGCATACTATCCTTAAAATTTATGGTGGGGTTAAATACTAAATTTAAAAGGAACAAGACGGCTTTCAGATCGAATAGAATGTTACAGCTTGAGGTTTCATGTCCTCATAAATCTCGTAAAAAATGGCTGCCTTAAAAGGTGGCACTGAACCTGAAGAGACCAATCACTCATCCCTGGTTGGCAAGCAAATCCAACTATTTCAGGTCATATCAGGCCAAGACCAAGGCATGCATGGTCTTGAAAGAGATATAATACATGTCAGGTTGCTGCATCATAGAGCTATCAGCACTGGGGGTATTTACAAGGCCATCTCCAATTTATTGAACAAATGTTGTTCGGATGATCCAGCCAAAACACCTCAAATCGAAACCATACCAAAGACATCTACCATAAGTTGATGTAAGAACCTTTGGTACACAGCTGATACCCAACCAAAGACAGCTACCACAAGAATGATACCTTTGTAGCTGACGTTCTCCGTCATTTGTCATCAGGATCTTGGCAATAAATGATATTTTCAGTTACATTAATATATTTACTACTACTTTCAATTCTATCTATACAAAATTAGTACTGTGAATACGGCTCCCACCTAGTGAAGTATGGCAAGAATATGTACGAATCCATGCCCTTGCAAATGGAGACGTCTTTTCCAGCACTCGAACCTGTGACTTCAAGGTTACAAGGAAGCAACCTTACTTATCCGCACCTATGTGCAAGGCTCGCTCTCACATTTTCTTTCAAATTATAATTCATTAAGAAACGGTAAGCCAGACCCCAAGAATCTAGGAAAGACACCTGACAATCCATTAAGAGCATTGGGCATCTTATTCTTTCTGCAATTTAATACGAAAAAGTGAATCTATTAGATATTTGAAATTCTCATTGAATGGAACAGGATAAAAGTATGCTCTGCATATTATAAAAGAATTATTAAAAAACTATCAGAATCTGTCTCACCTCCTGGTGAAAGACGACCATCCGCATTTATGGATTGCTCAAGTCACTTTGATTGGTCCCTAAGAATATTTAGGCAGTTAGTAATTCATACTGACAAACTCCGCAACTACAAATACTAATGCATGGCATAGTTATCAATTGTATATGCCTGTCCGTTGCGAGAAACCAAAACTCTACCACATAAAATGGCAGACGACATTGCGGACAAATAGCGTAAGCCTGACAGATGAACTATAACATACATATAAAGTACCAAAAAGCTAGTTAAACACAATGAATTATTAAAACAAATAACAAGGATCAACATAACAAAATCAGAAAAAAAGTTTGATTTGTATGCATTGTTGGTGTAAAAAATTTACTCCACAAATTAGAGTGCATTTGTTTCGCAATTTAAAATCTGTTGCACATATTCCAATAAACTATATTTTGAAGATAACAATTTATGGATTCACATTCAAAACGATTACATCTAATACTCAACACTATTATTAGAAGTCACTTTACATATGCTTTAAAGTAATTATCACAAAACTCCATAATTTTCTATGATTCGATGACAGTTAAAGACTGGAAAACATTTCCGCTATCAATATATTTCAATTAACTTCTAGAAAAATATTTATGAAATAAAATTCATTAAAGTCTCATAACACAAGCATAAGCATAAATTCTCCTAATTACACGATAAATAAAAGCCACGCAACTAAAAATATCTTAAAAGTGTGAATAAATGAAGGCCGATCAAGTATAAACAAAAAGAGAGGAAAAAAGATGTTGAAAAAAAACTGAATAATAAAAGAGGGAAAAAAAATTGTGGTGACAACAGCTAAATTTAAAATAGAGAATAAAACAAATATAGAAGAGATTGTGAAGGAAAAAAGAGCAGATGGAAAAAAAAAAATAGAATCAATGACGACAGGATACTCGGTATAAAAAAATTCAGCATAGGATAATTACCTGAAAGAGTTAAATCAGGAAGCACTAGATCTGTCATCTTAACCTCTTCTGATAATTTGTTGGCACTCCCCACATCTATGGATCCATTGCTTTTCCTCACCACTTTTGCCCGTCTGAGTTGACAAACACAGTAAAGCTAAAGTTTCACACCAAGTAGAATAATGATATTTGAGATTATATATATAATAGAAAAAGTGAGTTCAAACCTTATTAACTTGCGCTTCATAATGCCTGCCTTCAGCTTTGATGACACCCCTGTTTATAAATCAAGAAAAATATTATTTAAATTGATCCAGACTCATCATGCAGAGAGGAGAAAGAATAGAAAAAAAGCAAAGAAAAGGTAACGGCTTGTTTGGTCGTGAAAATATTCTCCATTCTCTTTATGATTTAACAAATAACTAAATAAATTTTATTGCTTTCCCTTTACTTCCTGTTTTCAAAAGATATTTATAGAGAAACCATGAAAACAGCATTTCATAATGCATATCACTCACCTGGTTTAAGAGCCAAAGAGGTTGAAACAGGCTTACGATTGCCCCTCTCACTTTTTATGAAATCAATGACAGAATCAGCATTCACCCCCAATCCTTTTCTTCCGACTAGTTTAACTCCTAGCTTTTCACAGAGGTAATTCAATCTCATTTCATCACCACCTCTTACCTCTCTTAGGTCAAGAACCTGTTGTCTTGTCAGTAATGTGTAAACATGAAGCTGTTGTTGTTGATTAAAATGTGACTGAAGCTGCTGAAAAAGTAATTTATTAGAGTGTTGTTGGTCTTGTTTCGCAACTTCATTACATTTCTTTCTAGCCTCACTAAATGTTACCCTCAAGATTGCTGGTGACTTGGGGTCCGTATTCTTATGAGCAAAAATGATAGAAAAGCTCCCAAATTCTATATCAGGTTCTCTAAATAAATCTGCAAGAACGGAAGCACAAGAATGAGCATTTGAAGGGGCCTTGTCAATTTTCACCTTCAGTGTTCGAATATTAGCATGGTGGGCCATATTTGCAGCTTCTCTTAGACCACTTAGGAAAGCCCCGTGCATAGTAGCAGGATAGCGTCTAGTGGTTGCTTCCCCAGCAAAGAAAAGCCTACCATCTCCTACACTTTCTGCTAAAATATCGTAGTCATCACCAGAAGCTCCAACTGCAACATTGGAGTAAGAACCAAAGCAGAAGGGATCACTACCCCATCTAGTACAGACAGTTTGGATTGGCTCAGGAACATTGATTCCTTTTGGTTCATATATACCTGCAGACAGATAGAGCATTTTTCTTCATACATATTCACTAAAATAAAAGTAATCAAATATTAGTAATTGAGGACTAATATGATTTGACTAAAAATTTAAACTTGCCCAATGAAAATTAAGTATTTCAGCTGAATTATAATGAGAAAAAGATACAAGTTCATTTACATATATTATTAATAAAACTCATACCACAAGACATGTTAGGAAACTGAGGAAATCATACAAACTACATGATAATGGATATGCAATTTATTGTCCTAAAATTTATTTTTCTTCGCTTATTTTGTATGGATATTCTTATCTTATAAATTGCATTAGCCAAAGTATAACGTAGGTAGTAACTTTCATATAAAGCGTACCCTTGAGAATTTGAAGAACCCGTGTGACTGCATCTGTGGGGGGCATGCTCTCAAACTTATGAGCAGCTTCCCCTGCCACTAAAGCAATCAACAGGGGACCACCAGCAACTGTTGCATAACTGTAAAACAAAAAAAATTCCCCACGACGACTTGGATCATCAGAAAGATGTCCAAATGTGTCAAGATCCAGCTCCCAAAACACATGAGGAAAAAGCATGGCAACCTTATTCAGCAGACCAAACCCCAACCTTTTTATCCCATCAAGCTTCCTCTGAGGCAACTCTGGTATAAACTTGATAGATCCTTTCTTCAATACACCTAATGGAACAGTGCACAAAGCCATATCACCCTCAAACACCTGATTCCCTGCAATCACCTGCACTCCATCACCACTGTACCTAATCGTATGCACAGTTTTCTCATACAAAATTGGCACATTCTCTGCCAAAGCCTGAACCAGCTTCCCATTTCCCCCAGGCAAAAAACAATGATCTCCCCCCATATCATAAGGATCATCCTGGTCCCAAAATGCAAGGGAAAGATTTGACAACAACCCCGCATTCGCATACTCCAAATTAGCAAGATGCCAATTGAACAAACTCAACTCCTCATCACTCACCGAGTCCTTAAACACTTGCTGAAACGTCTCGAGTGCCGCTCCAAGAGACACATCCACCGAGACCTCCCCCATCAACTGCCTCAACCTACTCGCTTTGTCGAGCATACGATTAAACGCAGACTCCACCTTCACATCCGTGTCCGGATCAACCGGCCTCCCGTCCACGCAATAAAGGGGACACTTATCCCTCACCTTATGAAGCAACTCACCCAACTGCCTCCCCACAATCCCAAGGGGATTCCCCAACGTACCCGTCAGCACACTACCACCCAAATCTGCAGCAGCACACAGCCTATTCCCTCCCTCCATCTTCTTCGTATAAACACGACCACCGGCGCGCTTCCGCCCTTCCAACACCGTCACCTTGAACCCAAACCGCATAAGCTGCCGAGCCGCAGCCAGCCCGGCGAGCCCGGCGCCGACGATAATCACCGACGGCTTGCTCGCCTCCGACGGAATCTTCTCCTTGATGGGAGAGGCCACTCCGAAATTGATGTAACCATGCGAGACAAGGTAATTATATGCGGAGTCCAAAAGCGCGTGGTAATGTTGCGGAATGTAATCCAGGAAGGTTTTCTTACTCACCCAATTGGACACGTTTTCGCGCCATTTTGCAATGATGTGGTTCCGAATGAGAGTGTAGTTTACCTGCTCGATGCCGCCGATGACCGGCAGCACGGCAGCGTCGATCTCCTCCTCCGTCAGGGAGTCCGCCGGAAAACCGGCGCTGAGGGCGATTAGCGCTTCGGTTTTGGGTTCTTTGTTTATTACGATAATTTCGTCGGAGGCGGGGGCTCGGGAGGAAGAGGAAGACGGAGAGTCGGTGGGCAGGGTGAGAGGAAGGCGAAACGAAGCTGGATTGCGCTGAGAGCGGCCGCGACGGCGCTTCTTGGGGACGGAGAAAGAGAGGTAGTGGCTCAAGGTGGTGGAGTTGGGGTTCTGGAGGAGATTTGGGATTGAATCGGTGGTTGGGTCCAAGAAAACGTTGGGACTTGGGTGAGGGTTAGGGTTTAGGGTGGAGGAAAATTGAGGTGGGAGATCCATTAAACTGTGTCGTTTGGTTTTCGATTACTATGAAACAAGAGCCATTTGGTTTTGGTGAGTTAAGAATCAGCTATCGGAATTTGGAAGCTTTAACGCTTAGCACCCGCTGCCGCTGCCACTGCCGCCATTCAGAATGTTGCACCGTTCACTAATTTAATATATAAATTTTAAAGAAAATCTTAAGTAAATTTTTTTAAAATTAAAAAATAAAAATTAACGAAATAAAAATTAGAATGTAATTAATTTTTTTAATAAAAAATTAACCAAAATAAATTTTGTATAATTATTAATTTTAGTTTTTTAAAATAATTATTAAAATAATAATATTTTTTTCCTTTTAATCTCTAATTTAATATTCAATATAGTCATAAATTTGGTATGGTTAAATTCTACTTTTTCATTCTTTAACCTAGTTTTTTAATTTATTTTTTTAACTTCATCCTAATCAGTATATTGTAGTCATTTCATTTTCTTCTCCATAATTCTTAGATCAGACATAGCAAGAGGCATAGGGAGGTTATGGAACTTTTAAAAGATGGGATTCAATTCATTTTAAGTGGCTGAATCTTTCATTGAGCTCAAATTTTTTTGTTCATAGTATATAGATTGTTTCAATGAATTGACAATTCATCTCATCTAACTGGTTTAGATTGAGTAATATCAAAGTGTACTTCCTCTACAGTAAAATAAAGATTTATTCTGTCAGGATACAGGAATTACTTATATTATAGTGATTTAAGAATGAATCTAGATTTATAAGAATAGGCATTAAACGTGATAAAATTAGTAACAGTACAGTTGATGAAGAGGAACTTAAGTGGATGTCTTCAGTGATGAAATGTATGACTATTTTTATGATACACATTAAGATATTGTTGGAAATCTGTGACTCAACATGATTGAAGAGTTAAAATAGTTAAATACAACTATATTCTATCCTATTTTTTAAAAAGGATTTTATGTATGGTTTAGTTAATTAGTTTAACATATATTTTTTAAATTTATTATAAATTATGTTTTTTTATAGTATAAATATTTATGGTTTATGTTTAATAAAAAATATCAGAATTTTTATTCGTTTCTCTTTTATACTTTAAAATCTTTCCATTGATATCAAAGCAAAAAAATATCTTATAGTATATGTGATATAATCCACAAACACTTATCATCACCAAATATTCACCACACATAAGATGGAATCTAAAACATTCTTTACTATCATTTTTGTGTTTGTATTTGATGGACTAAACTATCAAATGTGGGTTATCAAAATGGAAGCATATCTTAATGCTAAGGATGTATGGAAAGCACTAGAGGATTACAAAGTGTTTCCCTTGCCATTGTTCACAGTTGTATCTCTGATCATTTTCAATATAATAATGACGATAAAAAAGACACATAAAATCTGTAAGTTTTTGAAGGAAGAGTATGAAGGAAGTGAGAGAATAAAAGGAATGCAAACTTTGAATCTAGTTCGAGAACTTGAGATGCAGAGGGTAAAAGATTCACAGACAATAAAAGATTATGTAGAAAGCTTCTCAGCATTGCAAATAAAATACATCTTCTTAGCATTAAGATTCCTGATTCTCGAATTGTTTAAAAAGTACTTGTAACAATTCCAGAAATATATGAAGCCACATTGACTTCCTTGGAGAACTCAAAAGATCTTTCTACTATTACCTTGGCAGAACTTTTGACCGCACTTCAGGCTTCGGAACAAAGAAGACTCATGAGACAAGAAGGTTAGATTGAAAGGACTTTGGCAGTTAAATTGCTGAAGAAAAAAGGCAAGTCAGGAAGTTTCAACCACAAAAATGATAGCAAATCCTCTCATGTTTTTCCATCATATCCTTTTTGCATCCACATACGAAGTGTTGGTGAGAGAATGTACAAGTTGTTGTTGAAGAGGGTGAAAAAGAATAACTTTTTTTGTTGTTTCTTACTTTGCTACTGCAAGATCAACAGAAAATTGGCTAATTGATAGTGGTTGCACATGTTTGAAATTAATTACTGATGTTCTATACGTTCCTGAAATTGACCAAAACTTGTTGAGTGTTGGCTAACTTCTAGAGAAAGGCTATAAAGTTCTATTTGAAGATAAAACCTACATGATTAAAGATTCATATAATAAAGAATTATTCAGAGTTCAAATGAAAGGCAAGAGTTTTGCCTTGAATTTAATTGATTAAGAGCATATTGTTGTGCACAAGGTTGAAGACAACATGTCAGTGCAAGGGCTGCCTAAATTGGAAGAGAAATCACTCGTATGCGTTGCTTTGCAATATGGAAAACAAACGAGGAAATTTTGAAGAACAACAAACAAGCTGCAGTTAGTACATACAGATGTCGAAGGACCTAAAAAAAACCATCTCTGAATAACAAGAAAGTAGAGATAGTGGGTGTTAAAGTTGGTAAAGTCAAACTAAACTAAAAATATTAGAGGAAGAAGAGAAGTCTAAGACAACTATTCCCGAAGCAGAAACTAAAAATGCAGAACAATAAGCCATTGAGAAGGTGAAAGACATTGGCAACTTAAAGTTAGACGTTGTTCTTGAGAAAATAGAGAACACCTACAAGTAGATGAGGAAGTTGTGAAAGATTATAAGGACATGAAGATTAAGCAAGAAATTGTGATCGAGACTTTCAAAAAGTAAAGGAACTTCAAGAGGGAAAAACTTAGTGTATGTTGTCTTTGAGTTAAAAAAGAGATGGTTGAAATTCTATGACTCAAACAACGTATGTTTAAATGAGTTAAATCAGTTAAATAAAAATATATTTTTATCCTATATTGGAAGAGTATTTTATACATTGTTTAGATAATTAGCTTAACGTATATTTCTCAAAATTGTTATAAATTCTATTTTTATTTTATAATATAAATATCTACATTTTATGTTCAATAAAAAAAATCAGTTATCTTTTCATTTTTCTATCTTTTTTACTTTAAAATCCTACTTATATTACACAAACCATTAAATATAATGATGGTAACAGATATAATAATGAGAACGAGTCTTCAAGAGAATCTAACCTGAGACATTCTACAAGAATTCGTGAACATTTCTTGAAGATTACCATCATCAGCTTCAAATATTTCTTTATGAAGCAACTTCTCAAAAACATAAGAAAAAGTTCGTTACTCACTTAAATATGTATTGTTATACAAGAATTTATGTAAAGAAAGAGGAGTATAAAGAACGAATGACTGATTTTGCAGGCATATTGAATCACTGAAATTGGTTTATTGCTTAGGCATGTGCTAGCCAATATCTTTAAGAGTTTAATTCTTGTATGAAAAATTTTGTTTCTCTCATTATATATTTAACGCACACATACATGTAAATAGGATTACCTCCTTTTGTGTATACATTTTGTTTTCAATTTTAAGTTTTAAGTATTTTTTTAAATTAAAATAATAACTTTATCAATCATATCCTTTAAGTGATTATTATTTTCATTTTTTTTCAATTTGATTGTTTTTTCTCTAAAATTTAACTACTTTTTAAACTTTAATAACTATTACAATAAAAACATTATCTAAGAAAAATAAACATTACCTACAATGGAATTATAAAAATAATTTAATTTACTTTTATTATTATTATTATAATATTCATAATCTTATTGAGGTCTCTCTCTTTTGCGTATACATTTTTTTCTAATGATATCTTTTTAAGTATTTTTTAAAATTAAAATAATTATTTTACAAATTTTATCATTTAAGTAACTTTTTTCTTTTAAATTTAAGCGTTTTTTTTTTCAAGTTGACCGTTTTTTCTAAAATTTAACTAATTCTTTAAAATTTCATTAACTATTACAATAAAAACATTATCTATAAAAATATACATTACCTACGATATAATTGTAAAAATTATTCAAATTTACTTTTATTACTATAATAATAATAATAATAATAAATTATTATTTTTTACTATTATAAAAAAAGTAAACACATGTGTCAGGACCTTAAATGCAGTAGATAGTGGGATCCACGTGTCAGTGAAAGGGTCTTTGAAATTCAGAAAGTGGAAGACAGGTGTGCAGAGCTGAGTGACCGATCAGTTTTTTACGGTGGTATAAAAATCAAACTTTCAAAATTCGTGTCACTTTTCCTGCATGCACCTCTCCTCCAAAACTTCTTAGTTCTTCATTTTCTCCTCCTTCTCTCTATAATCTTCTTCTTCTCTCTACAAAATCTTACCTATTTCTCCTTCCGATCATCATTCAGGTCGCGCCTGAGTCTTCCTAGTGTCAAGAGCTTCACTTTGCACCGATCAAGTAAATAGTTTGAATTGGTAAGTTCATTCTTCTCTTAGCACGATTGTTTTTCTAGCACATGCAAACCAAGTTTATGGTTGCATGAGATTATCATTTTCTTCCATAAAATTCTGATAGCCATTTTGGTCTTCTATTTGGTCTAGTTTCGTAATCGGTGAACTCTAAGTGTATAAGATTGGTAGTGGTGAGCCATATCCTACAACCGTGAGCGTTTGGCTGAGTTTAGAGGTAAGGGAAGCTTGTAATTTAATTAAGATTTTGATTTCTGGTTGTGGATGGCTGCATGTTCGGATGATGCTATGATTGTTGATATTAACTGTTGAAAATGTTGAATGTAAATTTGTATGTGTTAGTGTTTGATACATGGCATGAACTGGGTAGGAATTCTGTAAGTTGGTCGAGAGTCATTCGTGACCGATCGGTGCTTCCTTAGTACGTTCGGTCTTGAATGGATTCTCCTTCTGTAGAGAATTTCAGTTAATGACCGATCGGTCTTATATTAGTATATGTATATTAAAATAAGCATTTGGTTTAAGTGTAGTTCCCCTTTTTACTTAGTAAACAATCTAGTAAAGGTACTCAAAATAACTTAAGTAATAGGTGCTATATTTATCCTTAGTGGTATATCTCAGTAGTGCTCAGTTTTGAACCAAGCGCTCGGTCTTAGTAGTGCTCGGTCTTGAACCAAGCGGTCGGTTTCAGTAGTGCTCGGTCTTGAACCAGGCGTTCGGTCTTGTCATAATACTCAATTATGTACTATATTTGAAACTAAGAGTTTTCGGCCCAACTCAATAGTGTTCGGTTAAAGCTTGTAGTGTTCGGTTTAAGTTCTTAGGTTTCAGTTAAAAGCTTTTATGATTTTCGGTTA